ACAAGCTGTGGGAATGGTACAAGCGGGCAATTTTGACATTAATAATATGTTAGGAGATGGCCACAGGGCACTGAATGTGGCTACTGGCAGGGAGACTTGTGGCATTGCCTGAATAGGGAGTGACAGATGCAGAAAAAGCATGTTTATAATGGAAGGGTTTGAGCAACTACAGCAAGAAGCTGTGAGGGGGGGGAGAGAAAATTGGTACTAGTAAACATCACCAGATGTGATAGCGTAGTTGTGATGGCTCTGTAGAGTTCAAGTCAATAAACATGAGTCAAATATAGGCAGATCTCCATGTTAGAGGTGCTGTAGTGGATGGCATCCAGATTGTATAAGAAGTTTGTGCCCAGGATTCTAAAGGTGCTGCAAACCTGGCATAAAATTCTGGACTCCAAAACGATCAGGGTACGCTCATGGTGCAGGCGTTCTGACCAGGTCAGTTTTGCCTGTACAAAATCTAGATTCCTCATATGCTAAGTCTAGAAGTCCAGACACAAGCACCAGGCACCAGATAATCTAGAGAAGAATAAAACATGTCACAACGTCCAGGATTAAGTCACATTATCTAGACATAGACGCCCTAGATTGTGGGTTGCCAGGAGGGGAGAGATATAGATTGCAAGCTCCTGACGAGATCATAATAGGATCAGAGTAGGTGGAATCTCCCAAAGCGACAAAGGGCGGTGTAGCTCCGTCGCGATGCTAGGCAGAAGAATTGGTGTGACCTAGGACACGACTCAGACCCAAAGAGAGGCATCTGGATGTAGGGGCAAGATGGCGACAGTTTTCAGGATATATGTCACGCCAGGGTCATCATACAGATAATGCCTAGATGTGGTGCGGCGCTGAAGCAGGGGTCAGGACCCCAGGGGCAGCGCCGGTGCGTCCTGATTAAGGGTTTGCGTCTTATACGTCCTGTTCGTCTGACGCACAGGACCTACAGGATGCGAGTGGATATTTTTCCTGATGTGAAGTAAGAAGAGCATATATACAAACTTCAAAACAAAAAAATGTAAAAATATCAACAACTCTATACAAATGTTGCACATACCAGGAATAAAAGGGTATAGACTGCTAGTGCTTAACCTAATTACTACTAAGATTTATAACTACAATTAAAACTAGTTATCTAATAAGCAATTATGAATGCTCCAATTTCCTGGAAAGAGTTTTAAGAAAAATGTTCAAGAGAGAAGCAAGGAAAGTGGTATGAACTAGTAGTTCCATTAAAAGAAGGGGGTAGGTAAGTATATTTATTCCTTTGTTCAAAATGTTCCAAAGGCGACTGAAAGAACTACAATGTATAACCCCTCATCAAAAGTATTTATGAACTATGTTTAGCTTAGTAAGCTACCTTGCAAAAATTCCAGATCATGTACCATGACCATTGACCACCTATTGGCAGTCTCAAAAGTATTTCTCATTTATTGACAGAATTCTGCCATAGTTAACTGGTCCAGATATGCAAAGTCTTCTATCAAAACAAGGTACCCTCCTAAAACCTCCAGACGCGAAATAATCAATGTTGAGAAAGGCATGATTGCTGCCTTGTTCTACACCCTCTGGAACATCATACTTGTAGCTCAGATTATTAGACAGCCATAGCCTACAGTTAAAAGCTTCCTTGCTCAAGCATGTGAACAGTAATCCCTTGAGAATAATTCTCACTCTGGCCACCCTGTTCTTCTTAGCTGGCAACAGCATTGAACAATCATCCAAGCAGCCAAGCCCAACTGAAAACTGACCCGAGCAAACTTCTGGAGTAAATATGTACCTGGTATCTCACTCTCAACATGTAATAAAAAAAACATACTACTCAGTACTACTCTAATTCCAAGTACCTGTACTACCCTGAGGGATATGATATGCTTTCAGTTAACGTAGATAAATTAATAGTGGATAGAGTACTCAGAGAAGCCAATATCAAGAAATGGCTAGCCAAATCCAGGGCCAAACTCAAACCTGAGCATGTGACCAAGAAATTAGAGTGGGCTATAAAGTTCATAAGGATTGGACTACTGAGAATTTTGAAAGTACATATCCCAGGCAAGAAGTATTTGGAAACTGGGGGGATCCTGGAGTCGAAATCTGGTATGTGTGCTCAGACACGCATGAATGGTTTGTCATCCAAAATTCTGAGTCCAGGATCCCCCTGTTTCCGAATACTTCTTGCCTACCACAAGTATCCGAGTCATCTGAAGTGATGAATACAGTATGAAAACATATAAAGATCCAAGGCAGCAGTAGGTTTTCAGAGAACCTGTGTAACTGGAACTGAAGTTTAGTCTGTTCAGTTCAGGGATTTGTTTTAGGTTTTAATTTACTCATGGTTTTGAGTATCCTTTCATACTCAGCTTGTTTAACTTATGGTTTTGGGAATCCTTTGATACTCCATTTATTTTACTTTTGGTTTCAGGTATCCTTCAATACCCAGTTTGTTTTACTTGCAGTTTTGAATATTCTTTGATACTCAATTTATTTTCCTTGTGGTTTCAAGTATTCTTTAATACTCAGTTTGTTTTACTTGTAGTTTCAAGTATTCTTTGCTACTCAATTTGTTTTACTTACGGTTTGAGAATCCTGTGATACTCAGTTTGTTTTATTTATGGTTTGGATTAAAGAACACTTGGGAACTCACCCATGCAGGACATGGATAAAACTTTGTATTTAAAGACTGCTGATTCCCTCAAAGAAATGGCAGACTTTGACAGGTAGTATTTCTAATATACTTGGTTGAACAGTTACCTCTTCAAGTTCCTATTCTTTTTACCTTTCGCTCAAAGCCTCCCTTAGCATAGTATGCCCATAGGTTGTAGATCAATCTGTGCGCTACACCTATTATACCTGGAAGCATGACTAGCATCCCAGTCCAAACACCTTACAACCTGGAGGAAAGTGGCTGGCTGACTGTATTCATCCAAAGGAGCAGGATAAGGGAATTTCGCTTATAGTTTGTGGGTACTTTTGGGGTAAGAAAAATGTTCCTTTGATTCCTATTACTCAAAATATCAATAATACCAGGTATATTAGACTCCTGAGAAGACATCTTTTTCTTGTTATTCATCAGATGATTTCCTTTCGTATGTAAGATATCCTGTTTCAGCAAGATAATGCCACAGTTTTCAAGACCTATAATTTTATAGATTAGTTGAAGAGGAATTCTATTGAAGTTGTAGAACACCCCCCTTACTCCCCTGATTTAAATCCTAATAAGCATGCATAGATTGAGCTTAAAAAGCGATTACACTAGTAGTATCCAAGGATTGGAGATACCCCAGGAGGAAAAGAAGCTGTCAAGAAGATGCTTGCAAAAGTACTACCTTTGGTATGGGAGACAATTCCTGACAAGTTTTTGGAAAAGCTGTCGAAATCAATGTCTCATAAAGTAACTACTGTTTTAGAGACAAAGGGAGGTTATACAAGGTATTAGCTAGTATTCTTTACTTGAATTAAAATTTTTACTTTTATTATTTAATTTATATAGAGAGTTGATCATAAAGTATTAATTGTGGATGATTTACCATTACTGCCCATTGATCTTTCATGGCTGTTGACAACCCAACCTCGCACCTCGCACCTCCCACCCACCCTACAGACAAATGGCACAATCACAATTTATTATGTCTCAGATGATGAACACTTTTGATAAGGGGCTGTAACTGTATGAAGACAATACAGGAAATCATACTAAGGCTACCAGTATAGATTAAGAGGTGACAAAAATTGAATGAAGTTCATTGTTGTAATTCTCCTCCAAATTCACTAGACTTTGATATATCTGAACAGGTGAAGAGGTATGTTAAGAATATGATGTCTAACTATTATCACAAGTTAAGGAGAAGTAGTTACCTTGTCCTTGAGTGAGCAAAGCGGCTCCTTGTTGAAGAATGGCATCGTTGTAATATGTTCATACTGGGATACTAGTCACACTGTTGAGTTTAATAGATGTAGGGAGCTATCTGCTGAAGAGTAGCAACTCTACGCTCGCTAAAAAAAAAGGCTTCGATGGTGTAATAGGAAAATAAAAATAATCATTCAACTGAGTATATTAGAATACTATCTGTCAAGGTCTGCTGTTTCCATTATGCAAATCAGGGGTCTTTTAAGTATATGTCCTTGAGTCTAATTATGAATTCTCACTTATGTTCTTACTCAATCAAAATGTAAATATAACCAAGTATTACCTGTTACTTAAAACAAAATATAAAACAAACTAAGTATTACTCAATACTTAAAAGAAAACATAAAACAAACTAACTAACTGGGCACCAGCTCTGGTTACAATCATATCCTTCAAGACTTTATAAATAGGTGTTATGCTAACTTTCATGGTAATCTTAGAGTAACAACTATAAAGGTTGAACATAATTGATTTTAGTTGTTCTGAATAGTACTGCTCCTTAACACCGCACTTCCTGTATATTGCCACTATTTAATCATGTGACCTAATCTAACCTCAGAAGCACGAGTACAGGCATCTCCGTCAGAGCCCTGTACAAGTATTCTTCGGATTGCGCCACAAAACCCCCCAAAAGAGCTAGCGTTTTCCTGGAGTGGAGAAAGATCAACGCCCGGGATGAGTTGGATCTCGTTAACCGGTATTGTCAATCCTGTTAACCCGTCAAGTCAGACTTATCGTGGGATGACAGGCTACCGGAGATAGTGGATTCCAAGAGTTTTTAAGGTATTGCTATTGCAGTCTAGCCTAGTTTCCTAAATTAGATAATGAAGGATTGGATAGACCCGCACGGCACTTCCCGCTTGCCGGTGGTATCGTTCCCATACTCGAGTACGAGGACTTCCCCAGGCCCACCGTAGTCCAGAACCCTGCCACTATGGTATCCCACAGTATTGTGGGAAAGCAACTGTGTCTCGCTGCCTGAATCATCCCGACCGACCGCCACCCGTATCGGTACTACCCCGAGAGCAATTTTTCATTGCTGAACCACATCGCGTATACGGTACTGTAAAAGTTACACACCCAGTCAAATGCAATCGCTCGACAAAACGGTGCATGGTACTGTATAGTGCACTTGTATCTGACAGTTGTGATCCGGGATTGCTACTGGCTCCAGCTCCGCGACCCAAACAATAAAAATGCTAGCCAAAAGCACATAAGAAGGGGCCCCTCTTTTTCCCGTTCCTCCTCTTCTCGGAAGCTACAATACCCCCTCGTTTCCTTTCAACCCGCAATCTTCCACTCTTCCTACGGTACCACGCTCACCCCGAAATCCCAAATGACGACCAGCACTCCACAACCTCCGAGCATTACATTCAACGGCTACTCCGAAGAAAACCCTCAATTCACCTTGTATTCCCATCCCATCGGCCCCAATGGTTCTCCCTCTCCCTCCAATGATGATCCGTTGAATTTCCCACTACTAACACCGAAACAGGCTGGAAAGCGGCCCAGATCCTGTCCGAACTTGACCTAACCTATCGCACCGTCCTCCTCGAGTTCGGCAGTGATCCCGGCGGTATGAAAACCCCAGAGTTCGAGCGTATCAACCCCAATGGACGTGTGCCCGCGCTGGTGGACCATAGTGCGAATGATCTAACCATCTGGGAATCGGGCGCTATCCTCCTCTACCTGGTTAAAAAGTACGATACGGTATATCGCCTCTGGGCACGGACTCCTGAAGACCAGGCTCTTATCGAGACATGGCTGTTCTACCAGGTCTCCGGTCAGGGACCCTACATCGGCCAAGCGACGTGGTTCGCACATTATCACCCTGAGGCTGTACCCAGTGCCCAGGACAGGTACGTTTCCGAAACCCGAAGAGTGCTCAGAATCCTGGCGAAACAGCTGGGCAGAGAGGGTTCCAAGGGATGGTTGGTTCTCGGAAGGATTACTGTGGCCGACTTGAGTTTTTTGCAATGGTACCTGCATGCTTATAGGGTCGGCGTCAACATCCAGGAGGAGTATCCAGTTGTTTGGGATTGGCTGCAGAGGATGCGGGAACGGCCAGCCGTGAAGAAGGCTAATGTCGGGTGTGTCTTTCCGGAGCAAGAGTTTCATAAGTAACCTTAACACCGTCCCAAGATCGGATCACAGAGGGAGCACTGACTGGGTGGTTATAGTGACTCTGGGAAAGAGTGACCTCCGGGTTGACATGGTGGCGCCCTTGCATTCACAACCCAATAGACCGCCTTTCTTCCTGTAGAATCAGGACCTGGAGACTATGTTTTGGGGGAAACGCTTGCGAGATACTACGCCCAAAAGGTGAATTTCAGTAACAAAGATGTATTTGATACCGACACGGTGGTGCTCTGAAAAGACGCGCTCCCTTGTTCTTCAATTAATGCCATAACGATGTCTCCGAAATTAATGCGCACCTTGGTAGCTACTATGCCACCCACTCGTACCAACCACCTAGGTGCTGTAAAGCGCATTGCTCACTTCCCCCCACAGAATTAGCGTGTCGATTTCCCAGATACCCCATTCAAGCACAGTTGCGCTTGAATGATGCACCACTAAGTGATGCATAGGCTAAGCATCCCGCGTCAAGTCAGCACTTTACCATAAATTGGCTTTTTGTCGAGCATCCACCCGCAGTTCTTATACCATCAATATCATGAGAGAGTGAGGATCACAATTCAATCATAGCCTTCCACACTGGAACCAACCAACGGATTGACAACCTGAACTAGGCGCTCCAAACCATTGCTGGTGTGATATGTCTCTGGAACCACCGATTGGACTAAAGTGTGCTACTCTAAAAAGAGCGCTGCAATTCTAGAGCAAACAGATGGTGACAAAAAAAAAGCAGCAGCGGAACAAATACAGCAATAAATATCCTCGTGTGAGTTAGTGAAATAGATGTATTCCGTGCCTTCCCCATCTACCCTTTTTTCCCCTCCTAGAGACTATAGCCTAAGAATACTCAAGTCAACTACGTCACCGGCTGCGAGTCCATACCGCCGTTCTTCCACCAGGTAGTGGGGCTGGTGGTTTCTACGCGTCGTTTCCAGGGCGACGAGTATGTTGGGCGCACTAAATGAGTCGGATTGTGACGATATATTGTGTCTCAGGGACTTACACTTCCTGCCAGATTTCGGGGCCACAATCCAATCACCCCCCCCCCCCCCTGAGATATCAGAGGACATGCAAAGCAACGGACAGAACTCGCTTCACGATAGCAGTTGTTTTCCTCCCAACTTGTGCAGCCCCCCCACAAAAGCGCTGGAATTACAAAAACTAAATCGAGGAACAGCTTCTCATGGCAATTAAGAGGGATTATAGGGGCACCGGGTACAACTTGCCCCAATAGCTCCCAACAGGAAGCGAGTGCTTATGCGGGGGCAGCTTTCAGCTTGTGGGTTGCCCGGTCGGTGCCCATCGTCCTGATGGCTTACTTGTTGCTCGGCACTTGGGCCTTGGCAATGCATGCTGTTTCACGGGAGTGTTCCCCCGAGGAAGGGACCCAGGGATCTTGCCTGAAACTATACCTGTTCCTACCGGCGTCATGGGAGGGAACTCCTCCCGGAATTTGTAATTTCTATGGTCCTTGTTTTCCCAACGCTATCAAAACCAATGCCGCTTACCAAGGCCCGAGAGGGAAGACCCTATGGGGCGAGTGATCAGTTGTGAGTATGATACTCAACTTGGCAAATAGGGAGAGGAGTCGGGGCTATTCTTGGGGGCGTTCATGCAATGTCCAAAACCTTCCGGATTCCCCCCCCCCCGGAATTATTATCTGATCACTGCACTTGTATCATTCCTAGGCCTTCAAAAAAAAAAAAAAACTAACAGCTACCGCAAGCACCGCAACCACGCACAATCCCCATGACACCGGAAGGATGTTTTGGAACGAGCCACATAGTCGCCATTCACGACGAGGTCAGCTATCTAGAAGATTTCAAAGTTTTTGATGTTCAATTTAGCCTCCTAGGCCCTAGCAGGCATTTGCACAAATGTGGATGCTGATCGTACTCGGAAACACTGGAATCGCGGCGGGCACAGATCGGTTGCCGGGGGCGGGCGGGGTGCTGCGGTGGATTGGTGCCCTTGCCTCCGAGGACCCAGTGGGTGTGGGTTGTTTGCCCAGTACTTGCTTGGGGGTTCGTCCGGTTAACAAATTTTGGGGAAGCGCGCAAGGGTTGAGATCGGGTATAAACAAGTTGAGTGGAGGCAGATGGAAGTGGGAAAAATAGAAAACACGTATCTTGCTCATCACAAGTGAGGAAGGACCGGCTAGTCCCGCAAATGCGAGGGACCATGCCGGCACATAAGGCCCTGTCAGCTCGAGCTCGATTTTGCCTGAGGGAAGTACTGCACGGAGTTCATGCACAAGAACAGCCCATCCGCACTAGCCTGAGTCTAACTTTGGCTTCTTCCCGCCCCATCCGCACTAAGCACTGCTGAACTGAAAAAATCACCAGGAGTACCGTACATTCACCCTACGCGAATCCCGCGCAGAATACCCGACCGCGGGATGCTGAAACAGAAGGTACCATAGACGGATATCACCCCGGGAACGTGCAGATGCTATATATAGATCACGAAGAAAATAAGCCCGGACAGACGCCCTGCGCATGCTGTATAACCGGATACGGTATCCAATGCTCTTCATTTGATTTTCAGGTATTCGGAGCCCAGCTGAGGCCAGTTATATTTGTATGTCCGTCGTAATGGTACTGTCGACACCACTGTTGTCCCAGCCCAACTCAGTTATACAACCCATATATTTAACTGCCGGTACCTCCTCCCCTGGGAGCTCATGCAGCTAACCTCACGAATGCTCTTTACAGCAGAGATAATATATTATGATAGTTACACATAGTTTTCCCAACCCTACCCTTCCTCTCCTCCCCTATCCGTCAGAGTATACAATCATTAGTTCTCACTCAAGAATCCGGATTTCCCTCACTTGAGCGATGTAGATGAGGACAGCGGCAGAATGCTATGGGAAAGTCGGGAACGATGAAGGTTCCAACGAACGGCGTATCCCCACACGATAGTTTCCTAGTGGAAAGGGTGGGCTAGGGAATAATCTTCTCCATATATCAGGTCTGACGAGAAGGGACTGGAAGCAGGCTAGAATGCTTAACCGCCTGCGGGGCGAAAGGAAGTAGCCAATCTAGCAATCTCAAAAATATAAACTATTAGCAGGGCGAATTGATCCGAATGTTGGAGTCGTCGATTGGGTGCAGGAGATGGGGTGTTTAAGAGCCATGCTGCCAACTGCCTCCCATAGTAGATCTTGTGAGACCTTCACGCCCGGGCACCCGATCGCCTGCATATATACTCGAGTACACCCGGGCACATAATACCTATGCCGGTGCCGGTAACATACAAAACCGCGGAGATTTCGTAATGGGTGTGTCACTGTCTCATATGAGGCGGGAGGGCAGGGAAAAAATATTTGAAAGGAGGGGGATTCGAACCCCCGCGGGCTAAGCCCATGAGAAACCCCACTTTAAGTGAAGAAGCGGAACGCTTGAGTCACACGCCATAACCACTCGGCCATCCTTCCATTACTTATGTATCTGTTTGGGATATGGTATTAGTAGTGTATACTTTGAGAGAAATTTCCATAGTAGGAATCGGAGGTACCGGTGTGGTGCGAGGAAGGTTTTAGGGGTTCTCTGGTCATGTTTGCTGGGTTTTTTTTACCCATAGAATTTTCTGTTTGGGATGAGGCTTAGCAGGTGGCTGTTTTTCACCTGGAGGCATGGCCTTGCCTTCCTCAGAGAGAGTGGAGGAACAACACAGAGAGAACCCATCCTGTACAACCAACTCCACCATCTTCCCCACTGTTGTTTCTGGGTGTTCTTTTCCACACCGGTAGTGTGCGTGTGGGAACCCTTCATTAAGTAGCCCCTCTTGGCATTTATCTATCAGTACATTAAATCGGCAGTGGAAGTCTCTAAATCAACTCCCACCCACGGTGGGCCCTGCTGGGGATCCCAAGGTACCCATCGTGCATGGCGGATTGGGGTTTTTTTTGGTCCCGACCCCTGTTTTGAAAAAGCCTGGTTCTTATTTTTCCCACTCCAGCCTTAGCCTAAAATTCCGCACCAGTGTTTGTGGCTGGTGGTTTTGGCCTGACCCCCGACCCAGAATCCATGGCGTCGGGCTGGGTTTTGTGTAGGAGCCGGGGGTACTTTCTGGGGATGTTAGTGCTGGGAAGTACTGTAAGTTACTCGAGTACAAGTACAGTACTGCGCCGGGGCCTAAACTCCAGCTGCCCCTCGCGACCCTCCATGGCCAGTGAGCAAAAGTATTAAAAGAAACAACAACACGGCATTTGAGGTTTTATGCACGAGCGATACCGAAACGAACTGGGCTTGAGAAGGGGGAGGGAGGAGGGAGCTGATTTTTGATGATGATCGCCTTTCCCAATGCAGGTGCTCGGGCACGAAGTATAGTTCTTCGCAGACTCTTGAGTATCATTCCTTGATTTTTGCCAGATGCGCCGATGAATTGCAAATGGGCAAGTAATATCACTTGAATTTTTTTCCAAATACCGTAGTTGCCGGGCACTAGGGACCTCTTCTCTAGTTCGCTTTTTCACCCTCGGCAATACTTACAAAAAACGTAGAAAAAGTAATGCTCTAGCATAAATTAGTATGCATGTCCAATATTTTCAAACGCACCTCCTGCTCGAGTGCTGTTGACTGTTAACAGGAGAGCGAGGTCCGTATATCAGGCAGGAGCCAATTTTAGGTAGTTAGTCTATAGAGTTGTTCTCTAAAAATTTGTTTGCTGGGGTTCGTCTGTCGTTAGATTTGGTGGCGGTCAGCGGTGATGGCTGATTGGAGATGTCCGGTATGAGTAGGGAAGGGGAAGGTTGGGTTTGTCTGGTTCTTTTTCTGAAGTGCAAAGTGCTTACCTATTCAATCCCGTGGCTCATTATTCGTAGAACACGTCGGTCACGTGGCTTGTGTCCAATTACCACGTCACAAAAGGAACCGGGTAACCACGTGCGTTATCCCAAAGGCTCCTACTCGAGTAGCTTCCATACTACATCTCCCTAAACCCTCCAGCTCCCCAACCACCAACGCAAGACCAGAGCAGAATCAAAACAAATGTTCGACCTCCCACTGTCCATACGACCGGAATGCACTAGTCTCCTGGACCCTTCTAGTCTTAACTTATTCTTCAGCCTCTTTATCCTCGCTGGGATCCTGCTTTCGTACCTGCCCCAACACTACCGAATAATATCGCGAGGGACGTCCGAGGGAATTAGTCCAGTCTTCTTACTCCTTGGTGTGACCAGCGGAACATGCGCTTTTGCGAATATATTGATACTGAGCAGGGGCGTGCTTGCATGCTGCGGGAAGGGCATCGGCGGGTTTAATTGCTTCGCGGCGAGTTTAGGGGTTGCGCAGGTTGGTGCGCAATGGATTTGTTTTGGAGTCATGTTAGTTTGCCTCCCTGCCTTCTGCCCCTGTGTTGTGGGTAAATGAGAATGTTGGTGTTGACGAAGAACTACAGATTACTCCTATTCCTCATCTATTTCCCGCGAGACGTCATAGCCGCCCCGGCAACCTCTCGTTTCTCCATGCCAAAGACTCAATCCGCGCTTACAACCGCAGTCCTCTGCGTAGTGCACCTTGTCGTCGTCGCCGTACTGACGTTTTACTTCTCGCTCTTGTCTCCTCCAGCATCCTATCCAACTCGCTCCGACACAAGTGTCTCCCCACAATTAACCTCCTGGGCGAATTTCCTGGGCATTCAGTCTACCGTCCTAGCCTCTTTGCAGTACCTCCCACAGTTATACACTACCTGGGCGCTTAAGCACGTTGGATCGCTTAGTATCCCCATGATGTGCATTCAGACTCCCGGATCATTCGTTTGGGCGATTAGCCTTGCCAGCCGCGAGGGAACAAAATGGAGCAGTTGGATCACGTATGTTGTTACGGGGGTTCTCCAGGGTGTATTACTGGCTATGTGTATTATGTGGGAGCTCAAGGACCGCAAAGAGAGAAAGGGGATGGATGAGAGCGAAAATAGCGCTGTGGTCGAGAGTGAGAGGAGGCCTTTGTTGGCCAACGAGGTTTCATAGGAGGCAAAGGGCACGATTGTTTGGAACCGGGTGTGGGCACAGGCGATATTAGCTCTCTTGTAGCCGATTTATTTGTTATTATGCTGTTGCTTTGAACGGGTCGATGGGGATTACAATATTGGCCCCTCATGGAATGGGTTCTCTGGCGCGTCCGCCCAATCTAACCTCTATCGCTCTCACCTTCCCCACATTTACCGCCTCAATAACTCCATCTACTCCGCCCTCATTCCAACTCTTCCCAAAACTATAGATGGCCCCATCAGCCCCTCATTCCCCATAATTTGTAACTTAGAAAAGAAGAGAACTTGCTGAGCGATCAAAACTTCCAGTGCTATCCCCCGAGAACGTTAACTTATATGACAGCCCCGTCAGCAGCCAGCTACACGACGCGGACAACGCAGCGCCCTAATCCACGCGGGCAAGCCTAATGGGGCTCACGGATTGGTTGGATAAACAATGCAGGAGAGGCTTTGAACAACGACTGTATCCTTGGCACGAAAGTGGTGGGCCCAATGGTGTAAGTGCAGGCCAGTGGAGTGCCGTTACTACAGGGACACCCGGCGAACCGGGAAAAGAGTGGGTAGTGCGGGACAGTTACAGTATGAGAGTCTGACGGCAACCACCGGCACCGCAGCCCTTGAGCTTTTGGTCTCAGCACAGATAGCACTCGTCCCACTTGCTGAAGGCCCCGGTGGGAGCCACCAGTACAGAGCACCTGTCGTTTGCTATTGTGGAGATCAGCTCTCGCCAATGTCAGGCGTCTCGGCAGAGGGCCCAGTCGATTACGGAGACTATCAGAATGGTATAAGGGAGCTAAAGAAGTCTACCCACCACTGGGAGCCCGGAATTGGTGTTCCTCATCAGCCGGGTCGTCAGCAAATTAACTCGCACCCGGTTTTATTTGAAGTCACTTGGTATCACTCGCTCGAACTAGCTATCTTGTTGAAGTAGAAAAGCGAGTTTAGGTGGAGTAGAGAGGAGAATTCAGTTAGGTACTTTTGTGAGGGGGGGGGGGGTATATGATCGTTTGAGTGAGCAAGAATTGTTAATCGTTTTCTTTACTTAATTGACTCCCTTCCTATCACCAAAGTGGATGACCACTATATACTATAGAAAACCCAACCGACCAGATATCCATCTGGTGGCTACATTCCTTCTGATCCATACCATCCCTCATTCCAATCTAACCCACGACCAGATGTCCATCTGGTGGCTACATTCTTTCCAATCCATACCATTCCTCGTATCTCCTCACATACGTCTAGACTGCTTCTTGCATGTTGTTATCAGGAAGTCCCTAACAACCCCAGCGATATCACAACACTTGTGGTTTGGGCTGTACGGGGGACTTGAGTGGAGAACACACTCCAAATATTCAAATAAAAGCACATTAGCTTTCCAACTAGCCTTCTTGGGTCTTGTGAATCCGTTGATCACTGTATGTTCACGGAATATCTGATCGCCGTCCCCTGCTCGCAATCCCTCTTCGGCATCTAACTTGATTTCCCAGCCTTCCACATGCCATAATTCTAGCACACATTTTTTTAGGAGCACTGGGGCCTTCGATTGTGGTTGGGCTACCCAGAGGTGTGTGTGCGAACATCTTCTTGGGGACGGGAAATTTTTATTAAATATTTTTTCCCCTCTATAAAGTACCTGCGTCTCTAGGATTCATATAGATGGTGATCTCGAAAATCCCCGCCTCCACGGGCCTCAGCCTGTTTCCTCCCGTCTTTTCCCCGCCAGAATCTGAAGAGAGCAGAGATAGAGTCGATTGGGGAGCTCGAGCTTATTGTAGCTCGAGGATGGCTCGGGACAAGGTTTAGATAAGCTCGTGGCGGCTCGGCTCGAGACGTACGCCGGCTCGTGAGGAACACTATCCGGAATGCCCCCAATGTCACTCGTGCCGTGGTGCCCCCCCCTGATATGCCTTCGCCGAGTTAGAAAAACACCCATACGGGTTAGCCCCCTACCGCCGCTGTGCGAACACGCGAACTTGGACGTTGCACTAGCCCAAAACCAAAGGTCGAAACCGGGACAGCATCAAGCAACCTGGATCGGCCCCCTGATATCCGTACCTCCTTACAAGTAAAATCGGTCTTCCAGGCTGTCCCCGGGAAGAGTTGAGTGGGTGTTGTATACGGCATGCGGAAATAGGGTTTACAGTTCCTGATGGGAT